TGCGACGTGCATCGTTCCCTGGTATGCAGGGCTTGGTCAGTGCTGAGAGGGGACAAGGAACAGTTTACTAGGAATCTTGCAAAGGAGGTCGAAAGCCATTTCTTAGTAAATGATCTTCGTCCTGCCTACGAAGCCCCGAGAAAGCTGAACACCAAGCTCTCCTCACAGACGAGTGCAGTCCACTCAGCAGGTGGCCAGATAATCTCAGTTCCAGTTGGAGTGCGGGTGCGTTGGGCTGAGTATTTTGAGCAGTTATACTAGGTTGATCCACCAACAATTAACTTACATGCGGGCAATGTCGAAATTCATTTGCTAGACCCACCCATCAGCGAAGATCCACCCTCTCTTACTGAAGTCAGGGGGTTAAAGGCTGGTGGAGAACCTATGGCAATGGCTTTGCATGCTGTCCTGTCTGCCATCTGGCAGAATGGTACCATTCCCCTGCCGAGGGGTGAGGTCATCCCTCTCTGGAAGGCGAAAGGGAATCGGTGGGACTGCAGCAGTCACCGAGGAATTACACTCACATCAGAGACCACCTGCTGAAGCACCAGGCTGCAGCTATCTGGATTCACTCCTGTTAAGTCCACAATAGAATGTATTCTGGCGCTTCGAGTCATTGTAGAGCACTAATTTGAGTTCCGGGAATCACGAACTACTCTGGAAGATCCTGAGACTAAGAGGAATTCCAATAAGGATTATTGGATTGATAGCAAGCCTGTATACTGGTACTGAAAGTGCTGTAAAGTATGGTGAGGGCCTGTTGAGCTTCTTCCTTGTTAGTTCACGTGTGAGGGAAGGCTGTGTTCTTGCACCAACACTTTCCAACACTTGCATGGACTGGATACTGGGAGCAGATACTGTCTAAAGAAATGAACTGAAGCGACCTAGTGGTCTCACGGACCAAGACCAAGATTCAGGACTTTGGGGGCCTGCTAGATCATATTTAATTGGTACGTTCTTGCAGTGAGAATATCGAGGTCACAGAGACCTTTTTATACCTCAGTAGTGCAGTTCATGACTCCAGGCTGTCAGATCAGTCTGTGGACGGATTGGCCTGGCAGCAAAGGTCATAGAATCGCTTGACAAGAGTATTTAGGGATTCCAGTACCTGTGCTGAAGTTCCAAGCTATATGTCTTCAAGGCCCTGATACTGCTGGTTATACTATACAGTAATGAAACCTGGACGTTCTCTTGTACTTTAGGAATCTGGTAGTGATGCTTTTTGTCATGTGGCATAGTTGGCGGGACCATTTTGGGAAGTGTAGGTGCGATGTGGACCCATGAGATCTTAGAAAAGATTTGGAATGGAGAGAACATCCCAGAACTTTGGAGGACAAGCATACTAGTGCCACTGTATAGAGAGAAAGGCGATGTATTAGAATATGGGAACCACCGTGGTATCAAGCCCTTGGAACGCCTCTTGAAAGTTGAGGAAAAGTTCTTGGACCAGAAGATCCGAGAAGTGGTGGACATGGGAAACATGCAGTTTGGCTTTAGACCGGGGAGAGGCACGACTGATGCAGGCCTGGCCGTGAGCATTTTAGCAGGCGAGCGGTGCATCGCTCTCCTCGTTAAAGTCAGGCGGGCGATTTTCAATCTATTGAAAATCGTCCATAAAAGTGTACGAATAAACAACAATTGCAACATTGGTATTTAAACAGCTAAGTTTACAAAACAAGATGACAATTCTCCAACAGAAATAAAACGATAGTTTCATATAGTCGCAAATCAACCACATTCTCACAAACAAGGTTTGAACAGAACCAAACTTAAATCAAATAGCGTAATTTTATAACATTCGTACAAACTAAAAGTCATTCGAAAACTGGCATTTTGATGTTCAGGTTCAAGTTCAAGGTGATTAATGTTATTTTGAAGTCAAAACATAAGGGATTAAGTTCCTGTCAATATTTTAGTTTTAATTCAAGAGGTGTCGAGAAATGAAAGGAAAACCAAGGCGGGCGGTTAATGTGCGAACTGACATTGAGGCGAGCGATGAATAGCTCGCCTCGCTAACACGAGGCGAGCGTGGAGGCGCGCGCGGGCGATCGCCCGCCTCAAACGGCCAGGTCTGCTGATGCTTTATCTATACTCAGGCAACTCCAAGAGAAACACTTGGAAGGCAACAAGAACCTATACCTTGCCGTTGTTGATTTGGAAAAGGCATATGATAGGGTGCCCAGAGAGCTGGTCTACTGGTGTCTACGGAAGAAAGGAGTTCCAGAGTACCTCATTAACATCGTGAAGGATACCTACGAAAGTGTAACCACAATGGTCAGAACGCCACAGGGAACATCGGAAGAATTTGAAGTGAAAGTCTTCACCAAGGATCAAGCCTGAGTCCACTCCTGTTCATCATAGTTATCGACGTGGTGAGCGAGGAGCGTGGAGGAGGATTGCTCTGGGAAATGTTGTTCGCCGACGACTTGGTCATTTCAGCGACGAGTGAGAAGAACTTGGAAACACAGCTCAGGAAGTGGAAGAAGGCACTCGAAGGTCGAGGGCTAAAAGTGAACATGAAGAAGACTGTCATGAGAAGCAGCAAATGAGCAAGAAGAAAGATAAACATCAAAGAGGAGAGCGGCGCAAAAATGACCAAGTTGACGAGTTCAAGTATCTTGGCAGCACAATGGCAAGTGAAGGAGGATATGAGTAAGCAGTGTGTGAAGCCGTGATGTGCGACAAAAAGTTACCAACCAAACTGAAGTCGAAAATGTACAAAACTGTGATAAGACCTGTGTTATTGTATGGAGCAGAAACTTGAGCCTTAAGAAAGAAAGAAGAGAGCCTGCTGCAGAGAACGGATATGAGAATGCTGAGGTGGATGTTGGGAATCAATCTAAGAGAGCAGAGAACAAATGAAGAGGTGTTAGCTGAAGCAGGAGTCACAAGCATTAGTAAGAAGATCGAAGAGGCAAGACTCACATGTGAAGAGAAGGCATGAGGAAGAAGACATACGGTAAGCGATGGATCTGCCTATCCCTGGAAAGCGGAGCAGAGGAAGACAAAGAAAAAGGTGGCTGGATTGTGTGATGGCCGACATGAAGAAAATGAATATCGAAGCGCAGTGGGCACAAGACCGAAAGAAGTGGAGAAAAGCAGTATGTGGAAAGTGACAACCCCCTAAATATGGGAAAAGTCAAAGAAGAAGACCATGTGTCCAACCATCAGTTGCACCATGAGACTGCTACTGGACCTGTTACTTGCACAATCCATGATTGCTAACTTAAGCTATACGGCCACCTGGCTTATTTACCATATTGTCTTTTCGAAACAAGCCTTGGTGGAGGAGGCCTGTGGGACGAACTAAGAAGTTGTGCTTTGGGTAGATCGATCAAGCCTGTCTTGAGGAGCTAGACAACCTGATGGGCAGGGTCATCCATAGGGAAATGAGCTAGGTGCCCATATAGCCTGAGTAGGCGATCCCGGAATATGTAGGTAACAGGTCCCATGCCAGTCTCACAGTATAAGCCGTTGGTTGGACACATGGTCCTGCCAACTGTACCCCATGATCTAGCAAGGAGACTTGTTACAAAAGGCATCAAGACTAGACTCCAAGGCACTATATAACATCTTGGTTTCACTTCCATAGAGCAAAACTGGCAGTATCAAGGCTTGAAGACACGTCAACAATACCTAGCAAGACCGGATGGCAGATTCCACACCTCTGTCCAAGCAGCTGCCTTTCTCCTTGGGCAGGATGCAGGTGCTGCCTGGCTTTCTCTTTTTGCACAGGAATAAACATCTTCCTCCAAGGAAAACGCCGCATAAAAGGGCACGTGTGTAAGACGAAGGGGGAGACACAGCAGACAGGCCATGCCACACAGGGTCCAGCTCCACCACCTCGTCCTCCACCTGGGGACACGGGGGTCTCTTGGGGGATCTCATATCTATCTTCAGAAATAAACCAGAAAGCTAAGACCCCTTTCATTGACTGCCCTAGACCATCTCTCTTATGCTTACATCTGGTGACTTATGGTGGTCACTCGTTACATCAGTGCTCCCAAAAGTTGACTGAGTTCATAGCTCCTGCTGCCAGACCAATCTATCTACTGACTTCTTGGTCTGACAGCCTAGAGACATGGACTACACTACCAAGGTTTGCAAAGCTCTCTTTGACGTCAACACAAGTATGGATCAACTGAATGGGTTCCCCTAAAAAGCCCCGAAAGTCCTGAATCTCTAGGCCCAAGGGCTTATCCTCATTGCTAAATGCATCTAGAGCCACCAGCAGGGATTCCAGAGACTCAGACAGGATAGCAACATTGTTGGCAAAGTTAAGGTCTGAAACCTTGGTAATACCCAATATTGATCTGCACTGACTTTGGATAGTAGCTTTGCCCATTATCCAGTCCATTCAGGTGTTGAAAAGTGTCGGTGCAAGAACACAGGCCCCCTCCATAGTTTACAGCACTTTCAATACTGGTATACAGGCTTACTATTAGGCCAATAATCTGTGTCGAAATTCCCACCTCAAAATCTATTGCAATTCTCGATGCACCAAGTCAAATGCCATCTTGAGGTCGATGTAGGCTGTGAGCAGCCCACAACCGACTCATGATGGTGTTCCACAATTACTGGAAGTCCTATGATGCTGTCTATTGTTGACTTGCCAGACTGCTTTCGTCTCTGGTGTTTTGAGCAATGTAATGCCACAGTAGTTGCTAGTCCCAACGATCCCCTTTCCCATTCCAAAGAGGGATGATCACACCCCTCAACAGGTCAGAATGGAACTGGACTGCTAGATAGCAGTCAAGACTGCATGCAAGCCCCATGCCATAGTTTCACTCCCAGCCTTTAACAGTTCAGCAGGGATATCAGATATGCCTGCACCTTTCCCACTCTTCAGCTTAGAAATCGCCATCCTAACCTCATTTAGGGTAGGAGATTTCTC